ACTCCAGCACGCATGCACCATGGAGTCTGCGTCGCACAGTTGCGTCGCGAATAAAATACGCTTGATACAACAGAAACTCCCCGCCAGCCGGGGAGCGCGAACGGCGAGCAGTGAGCGCGGAAGAACTGGAAAGAAGTGTAAGACGAGCCCCCGAAGAGCTGCAATAATACTATAGGCTTACCATTTTTTGCGGATATGTATATGTCTGTTCATTGATGTTAAACTGCTGTGTAATATATAGGATGTAATCTACACCTTCTGCGGGTATTGGTAGCACCCTTTGATTTTAACGAGTATATGTTTGGATATTAGCGAATGATTTTAGTTTGCTGGGCGCTTTTTTTATATAGTTTTTTTTTTGCTGCGATCGAGTGTATAACTGTACTTTACGTGAATGAGAGAGAGAGAGAGATGAGGCGGGGGGATGTGCGGGTGCGGGTGCCTCTCGTTTGCTGCATTTATAATTGGTATTGCTGTAAGCGGTTGATGTGTGTTATTTCACGTATGTTGGATGCGGGAATCATCGGCAGAGAGATGAGTTTTCTTTTTGGTCTCAGTGCTCTGAAGATGTTTTTTTTTCTTTTGAGTAGGCAGGGATACATGCAAGGAATTGAGTCGTCTTTTGTTTTTGTCTGTTTATTACTATTTTTTTTTTGCTGTATTGTTTTTTTGCTTTTTTTTCCTGATTTTTGCTTTCTATTGCTACCACTTGGTTTGGTTTCCCGTGCGGTAGGTGGAGTAAGAGAGATGTGGTGGTGGGAATGCTGCGCCAAGCATCTCGGCTGGGGGTGGAGCCTGAGTGCAGGTTGCAGTTGAGGAGCAGGGATCAATAGAACGGGGTGAATGTGCCCCCCTCCCCTCGGTCAATTAAATACATTAAAGGACATAGGCAGAGGGAGGGTAAGGGCGGAGCACGGACGCTAACTGGATGTGCGCGTGTGCGAGTCTGACTCTTTCCATATTTGCAGCTTTGATTGTAGTGGTGCAGCTTTATTTACTTGCATGTGTTTGTGTGTTATTATTTGAGTTTGTTTGTGATTGGGGTTCTTGTGTTTGTTTTTGGTAGGTGTGAGGCGGAAGCTTTAGGGCTTTACGTTCGCATTTTTGTGGGCTGGTCATTACCCTGCATTGTAAACCACATTGTCGTTTTATCTATCTCAACCTCCCTTTCTGTCTCTGTCTCGCTCACCCGTGGCAGGTCTGTTGGTGGGAATCCATCACTCACGCTCTCTTCCTCCTCTTCCTTTTTTTACTAACTACACGCGGGGCGAGTGAGGTAGCCGTAAAAAAAGGGGGGAGGGAGGCGTGATCACATCATGCTACGCTCCTCTTGCTGTTTGTGGGCGGCGGTGACCCCCACCTCCGCTGACGTTGCCGCAGCCCTCCGTGTGTTGGGGCTTGACGCCAGCAACCCGCAGCACGCCACCAGCGAGCGGGTGCGGGCGCAGTACCTACACCTTGCCAGGCTACACCATCCCGACTTGAGCAGCGGCGACGACAAAAAAATGAAGGTTATCAATACGGCGTACGAGATGCTGCAGACTAGTGGTGCGCTGAACACACTTTCCATGAACGAAAAGGGCTGGCAGAGTGCGCAGGCGAAGCAGGAGGGCGGGGGCGCAAGTGAGACACGGTTTACACCCAAAGCAAAGCTGCGACGGCGTCGGGTGCCGGATGACTTTGCGGATGGCGACACATGGAGCATGAAGTCCACACTGGAGTGGGAAACACTGATGAACTCCACCTTTGGCCTGAACGGTCTGAGCGAAGAGGAGTTGAAGAATCCCGTAAACCACCCCTTTAGCCACAGCAAGTTTTTCACCTTTGAAGATGACACCACCATCTATCGCATGATCCGTGGTGGGGCGACAGTCAGGCAGGTGGCTCGCACACTTGGGAAGTCACCCACGTTTGTGGAAAGGCGGCTGCATAATGCGCAGTTTAAGCAGCGAATTCAGTACGTGCTGCGTCACGAAAAACGACGTCATCAGGAGCAACGAAAGCAGCGGCAGCAGCAGGGTGGATCTCACAGTGGAAAGCAAGCATCAAACTCGGGTGGCGTCAATGCGACGGAGCGTGTCTTTGGTGTATCGGATGCCTTCCATACGGCAATGCGGGAGCAGCAGCACAAACCACGACACGAACAACAGTCTTCTGGTGAAGAGAGTCGACGGAAAAAGGAGTGGGAACCAACCATCCCAAATTTAGAATCCCCCACCTTTTTTGCTGAGATGAGCCTGGAGGAAAAAGGGATACATGCTGGATTGTTGCGGGAAGAACAGCGGCAACAGCAGGTTCCACTCTCGTGGACACGAGCCGCCTCGAAAGTGGGACGGTCCTACGCGAACTATGCACGATTTGCAGGTAAAACGGCGAAGAAGTCGTAGTATCGGATCATGCAGCAGTGTTTATTCGCGGTTTGGTACGTTGCTGAAGGCGTGTCGTTCTTTCTTCGCCATTTCTTCTGCCGCGCCTTGGGTTGCTGCGGCTGAGTTGCAGTTTACGGTCATCTGTTTTTTTTTTTCATCTGTGTCTGTGTACATGCCGTGGCTTTCTATCTCCCTTTCTTCTTTTCTCTTACTTTGGCATACTCCTTGTTGCCAAAGCACGATTGAGAGCGGGAGGTTGGAGTTACGAGGAACACTTGTGTTTTACTCGCTCGATCACTAGATATATCTACATATATATCTACATATACACATGTATCTGTATATAAATATAATAACTAGAGGCGATGAGTAACACAGAAAGTGATTGGGCTCTGCGAGAAGCGCTGCTGCTGTGTGTCACAGAGACGCAGCCGTGTTCCTCCACGCCTTGTGCGTTGGCGACCTCCCGTTGTGAGGTTCAAACGACGGTGCACAGCTTCCCTGCACCTTACTATGGAGCTGACACTCGCCGAACCGTGAGTTCTGCCGTGAAGAAGGTGAAAACGACGGTGCGTTGCACCCTGGAGGCATTCATAGCCTTCATCAGCACACCACAAAATCTGCAGTACCAGGAGGACGGTGTGCTGTGTAATGACGTGATTGACAAAAGGGGAGATGCACTGCTGATGCGCACCGTGTACCGGCACCATCCTCCTGTGGAGGTCGTTACTCTGCGTGAGTCCAAGATGTATCACACCCCTGGGGCGGCTGACACCAATGAGCCCCTGCAACGTTTTTTAAAGACTGTTGGAAACGTTTCTCACGACACTAGTATACCTAAAAGTGAGAGACCAAAAGGCGGTGTGCCTCCCGCATTTCCCTCCAAAGTGTATGTGGATGTCATTCACAGCGTCCCGGACGAGAGAACCGTGCCCGCATTCTCTACGACCATGCGGGGATGGATGTACCTCTCTGCCTTTATTGCCTACGAGCTGCCTGGTCCATGTGTGCACCTCACTTTTGTAAGTGCCCCGGACGAACACGTCGCAGCCGTCACAGGAAGATGTGAGAAGAGGATCTCACGGATACGCAACCTGTGTGAAATGCTGCAGCAGATGATGTCAGGAGGAACACTAGCTCTTTTGCATCAGCAGCAGCAGCAGCAGAAAGATAATGGGTTTTCCAGCAGCGTTGGCTCCCCGGAACCCCGCGAACCGGCCTTGCAAAGACGACATGAACCATGTGTGACAGGTCCTCCCACAGAGGCGCAACTTTGTGTGCTGCGCCCCCTTCTTAAGCTACACAATGCGAATGTGTGGCAGCACCGTGTGCAACACGAAGGCTGCGACGTTGAAGAGTGTGAGGCACGTCAGTGTATTGCTGCACCCCCCTTCTTGAAGGCCTACCGTATTTCGACGTATATTGCGTGCTCGTTGGCGACTTTTTTTTCTCTTGTTGGAGATCCGTTGCAGGCACATCGCTACGATGCCTTTTTGGAACGTTCCACGGTCATTGGTACGCAGAAGGAAGGGGAAGTAGTGTATGGACAGTGCAAGCGGCTAGCCACGCACGCCTCCCTGCGTGATTACTGTGTTCTTGTTACCACGGCTCTCCTCCAACCTGACCAGCTGCATGAAGCTGAACAGCTGTTGTCTGTAGACAGCTCCGCAATAATGGTATATGTCCAAAATGCCATTCAGTGTAATTACCGACCCCGCTGTGCGGGCTATGAGCGGCAGGTGGTGTACGCCTTTGGGTACATTGCCACAACCAACGCTGAGGACAACTGCGTGCAGGCACACCATATAGTGTGCATTGACACCGTAGATAACTCGGATCACCGACTAGAGCTGGCGATGATTCAGGAGCACATTACCCGAATGGCGTGGGCGCGTCAGGTCTGTCAAGACACCAAGAACAAAGCAGTCACCATTTCCCCTTCTCTAGTCTCACTCGCGCCTGCAGAGGAAGAGAAAAATACGGTTGATACAGCGGCAAAGGAGGAAGTGGACGCAGAAGCAGCCTCATTTATTGAGGTGGAAACCCTCGAAGATGTCACTTCCATTGTTTATACCCACGACAGTGAAACCTGTGTCTCTCAGCAGGCTCCTTTGAACGGATCATTTGAGGAGCTTGAGGGAATATTTGAGGCACACTCCAGTGGAGTGAGGACTCCCTACCGACCTGCATCTCCTCTACAGCATCGCCAGGTATCTGACGCGACAGCACACAAGCCCCACCCGACGGCGACGACGGATTGGACCTTTTGGCCAACGCCAACAGCTGCAAAGAGGAATCCAGAAGCAAAGACGCTGAAGGCGCCTCCTGCACAGACGGAAGTATCAACCACCAAGGACTCCACCGTGTTACAAGATACTCCACACCCACCAGACTTACCACGCGACTTTCTTCAGGTGGAAATACGGTCGTGTCGCAATCTACTGAAATGTGGCAAACCAAAGCAGTGCGTGTTTTTTTTTATTCTGCGCACGTCAGTCGCGTCGGTGCAGACGACACGGGTGGCGTTTAATGGCAGCCCAGTTTTTCATCAGGAACGTCTTCTCTTCGAAGGACCGCAAGGGGACTCGTTGACGGTGATAGCCGTGGTGCGAACGGCCTCCGGCCGCATGAAACGCCTTGGGAAAGCTATCCTTTCGCTGCGGAACATACGGGAGTCAGAACCGCACACACGGTGGGTGGCGTTAGTGAGAAATTCTGGCACAAGTCACGCCTGCGTGCGTGGGGAGGTGTGTATTACGCTGCGCGGCGGTGGATCTAACGCGCGAGCCTCAGTAACGCCATTATCGGCGGAAGAGGAGAAATCATTGCGGAAACGCATTCGCCACACCTTGATGACATCTGGACAACAGCATCTGCATCGTCTTGAGTGGCTTGTCGGTCGCTGCTGGGGAAAACCCCCTCATGAAGTGGACGCCTTACTAGCAAGGTACCAAACGGGCAAACGCCACAGCAAGGTCGTTCTCACCGTATTTGATGTGCAAGGACTGATGACAGAGCAGGGGGTGCCTCTACTCAATAGCCCAGCGTGTCAGGTTGGGTGGAGACTAGCAGTGTGCACCATTGTTCGCGGACTGTGCCGTTACAACAAGTGGCTGTTTTCAAGGAATCCTTTCAACTCATGGTCGGCACTGGGGAAGCTATTTGTGTAACGGTGGCAGTTGGGGGAGCCATCCTGGGGAGTGTGCTTATTTCTTCCAACGCACAAAAAGTTGGTGCCTTGCGCGTGCACACGCTTTTTGCTGCAGCTGGGACGATGCAGGCGGTGCCGAGCGGCGTCGTCACCGTCACGCTTCACGGCGATGTCACTCACTGTGGACGTCATCGCACCTCTTGTGACCTCGTAGAAGAAGCAGCTCGCACCTCTCGCCTCCGTTTGGTGCTTTGGAAGTACGCCCGCGACACTCTGCACAAGCTGGATGTGATTGGCTCCTCGTTGTATGACGTGGAGCATTGCACGAAGACTATTGGCCCGTGTCCTCCACGGTGTGACGTTCGCGTCTCCGTGAGGTGTTGGGAATCATCCGCCCCCGCGTGGGACAGTCCCGCGACTGCCGCCTCTACGGCCGTAGCTGTGGCCGAAGAAGAAGGGGAGAGGGAATGGACCCAAGTGGCATATCATCGCAGTATTTCCAAACGCACTGTAGTCTACGCTGTGATTCATGCGGGGTTGCATTATTACAAAAGCAGTCCCGTGCGCGTCAGTGATAATGGCACAGCCCAGTTTGATGACTCTGTCACTTTCCACGATGTTCTCCCGGAACGAGATGAGGTGATTGTGTCCATCGTTGGCAAGGGGATTTCTGGAACATGTGAAACCGATTTGGGTGTGGCCGTCTTCCCGCTCCGCACGTTGGTGCGCCAACAGGCACTCCTGCTTACGGTTCCGCTTGTGCGTCATGCTGGTACGGCGGATGCGTATTTTAGGGGATCTGTGCAGGTGGAACTTTTTGCGGTGAATTTTAGTGGAACATCCATAGCAGGCAAGGGCTCCGCCTCTGCTCGATCGCAACTTCAACGGCTACTCTACCGGTATGACCCCCATAAGCTGCATCGCGTGGAATGTCTCCTCCTAGATCACGTAGGACGTGAAGAGGAGTTTGTGCATACGTTGCTGGAAAAGTATGGACCGGATTCATACCCGTCACTTATGGAGCTGCGTCTTATTGGGCTTCGTAACTTTACACCGGCTTGCGCCTGCTACGTGAAGGTGTACATGAATGGGGAGTCTGTGTTGCGCTCCTCGCAGCAGTCTGGCGCGGCAAACATTACATTTTCCCCATCTGACGCCAAGAACGCCACAGTGGTGACGCTCGACGATCCTCAGCATGCGCGGCTGCGAGTTAAGGTGGCGCAGTACCGATATCTTCAATCTGTCACTATCTCCTTTGCTGAGATGCGTCTGAGGAACATGGTTGCGAGGTGCCTTAACGAGCACTGGCTTCCACTGTTCGGTAGTGATGGTGAGGAAATTGGACGTCTTGGTATAGCATTGAAATGCAATGGTTTTATTGGTCTTGATGTGGCGCCAGTGAAATTGGAGGCGGCTGAGAAGGATGCTGTTTCCCTGCTCCGCAAGTACAAACGCGAGGCCCTGCCGTTTCTTCAGCCGCTGATGACAGAGGCCGGTAGTGCAGCAGCGGTGCATGCGGAGATACGCCGCCGTGTCGCCACCAGGCCCGTGGCTGTCACCGTGTACGTGTGTGTTGAGTCCCTCTCCTTCACCGAGTCCGGTGTCTTTTATGATCAGTGGCATACATCAATGACACCGCTACAGCAGGAAAATGAAAGGAGCGAATACACGGTGACGGCCAACTGTGACCACGAGGAGGCTAGTGTGAGTTGGTCTGAGCAATTGCAAGGATCCGGTGCGGATATTCGGCTGGATATTCCGGAATTTGGCAAATGTGGGGACCACCGTCTTACCATCACCGTAAGGCAGGCTCGGGGTGCACGATCCCTGTCTCGTACCGGGAAGAAACTGCGTTCGAGTTCGCGTGGTAGCCGCACCAACTCCCCTCAACAAGCGACACATTCTCAGCAGCTTCTACCGCCGATTGAGCTTGGTCGCGTGGTGGTCTCGCTTAGGGCACTGCTCACCCGAAGCCTGTATGATGCGGCGGAGCGGGTCACACTTCCTTTGGTATCTTTTACTCAGAACCCCGCTGATATGAGAGCATTACAGCAGCAGCAACAACAACAACAACAACCATCGCGATCCTCGGCGGCGGTGTTGCCTTTGTGTACTGTAGTTGGCACCGTTAGTTTTAGTGTCCGCCTCCCTGCGTTTGAGCAGGTTCCATCGTGGCTGCAGTTGAAATGATTCTGATATGGAGAAGCATTCAGCGATCAACCGTGGATGTATTCGGCACTATGAGGGACAAATTCGTGAAATATTGGCGAAGCATGAACCCCAGACGTTGCTCGACCTGCATTATACGCTGTATGAACGTGATGTGGCGCATGGGCAGTGGAGTCTTTCACTGCGCGAATGGAAGCGTGTGCTACTTCGGCGTATTGGGGTTGTTGAAGACACACCAGATGTATTCTCGTCCCCACTCTGTGTAAAGAATTGCAAGGATGACGTCAGTGATCAGGAAGCAGTGAAAGCGAAGCGACATTCCAAGAGACGCAATGGTGACGTGAAACTTTACGAAACGATGGAGAAACTTCGGCACCCCTCGCGCGTGCATCGTACACTTTTTATGGACAGCGATGAGTCCACCCCTTTATAGAAGCATGATGGTGAGAAAATGTAAGCCACATTGGAGTCCTCGCATCATCACGGGGATGACGTCCCTCCATCTTTTGTTTTGCGTATTTTGTACGTATTTGTGTAACTTTCTTCGCATTTCTTTTTCTCCGAACCTGCGGAGCCTGTTGCAGTACAGTGCCCAGGAAGAAGCTGTTTGTTCGTTGTCTTTCTGTGTGACGGGCCTTACTTCCTCCCTCTGTTTGCACGCCTGTATGTCTGCATATCCGTCTGCGTGCGTGTGTGTCTGTGAGTTTGAATTTCTTGAGGCAATGTGGCGGTGTTTATTATTTTTTTTGGAGGACGTTGTGCCTCACTTCCCTCAGGAGCCTCTTTTTTTTCTATCACTGGACGACACAGAAACCCCCTAAGAGGGAGAGGGATATATTTTTAAGTGGGAAGCGAAACACAACACGAACAGGTGTGAGGGAGGAGTAGAGGCGGCGGCAAGAGCGAATGCGACGCGTTCTTCTCCCAACGGTGACGGGTGCGTCTCGTCGAATTCGATGGCTTGCGGGTCGATGGGCCGTGCGAGGTCTCTCCACCGCCCCCGACACCGCAAAGGATACCACGAAGTTGGCTGGGTTTGAGTTTTCCACTCCGAACTTTTCCCTTGACGGTGGAGTAGACGTGGGTGCGGACGACGTCGTGAAGGATTTGGTCACAAGCCCCGTGACAAGCCTTGATTTCCTGCGTGACGTGTACGGCCCGTGGCTGGTGCTGACGGAGGACCTGCAAGAGGAGTTGTTCATTGACCATGACCGCATGGTGTACCTGCGGCCGGCGAACGGACTCGGATTTGGCGTTGGTCGCATGGAGGTGGCGGACTCTGGCCCTTCCGGCACAGCCTTTTCACTCCAATTGGAGTCCTACACGTACCCGGTGACGAGCGTCCTGGCGCCCTACACCCCCCTTGCGCTGGATGTGACCGGCCAGTTGAAGCGTGTGGAGTCCAGCTCCGGTGAATACGCGACCTTCTCACTGGTCGCGACGTGGCGTAAGAAGGACGGGACAAGCGGCAAGTTTAACGCCGCAAAACTATCCCCGTGGGATCCTGCCACAAGTGCAAAGCCGTGGGAACCCAAGGCGGAGCTGCAGCGCATATTTCAGGAGGTCTTTCCCAAGCCACTCGTACTCACATCACATTTACGGAGGTCGCAGGCGGCGCGTGAGGCGAGCGGTGCGGATCTTCATCACATGTCACTGGAGCCCTATCACGTGGGTGATATTCCTGGTCTTTACTACATCCCCGACTACATTTCGGAGGAGGAGGAGCAGCAAATACTGCAAACTGTGCGAGATACACCAAAGGAACTGAAGACGCAACTGCACAAACGCAAGGTGCAAGAATGGGGATGCGTCATGTGTGAAGAGTGCAACAAGAGCTTTGTTTCTGACTGGAACATGCCACCGTGGGTGGCTGCCTGTAACGACATGCTGCTACACGATGGTATATTTACCCCGAGCACGTTTCCCAACAGCGTTCGCGTACACGAGTATCAGGTTGGTGAGGGTATCGGGGCACACTGTGATGGGCCTATTTACTTTCCACTTGTCTCTGTCTTGTCGCTTAACTCCCCATGCGTCATGTTTTTTTACGCCCGACGGGAGCCCTATATGCAGCCTATGGAGCACTATAATGATACCTTCCGCTTTGACACTGGCATAGCTGTGGAGAAGCCTGTGCAGTGTGTTGTAATGGAGCCCCGCTCGCTTATGCTGTTCCGTGGTGATGCGTACTACTATCATCCACACGGCACTTCGGATCATGAGGTGGACGATTTATCGCCCGAGGTCGCAGGGAAAGTTGTCAACCGCCACCTACTGAAGGACCCCAACATCACAGAAGTAAGGAAGTCGTATCGTGTGAGCATCACAACGAGAAATCTGTTGCCGCGCTGCAACCATCAACCCACGCGGGCCGAATACGCTATGAAACGGTCGTGGTATGTGTACAATCATCTACCTGTACCGGAGCCACTGGTGACCCCCGCTCCAATGCTGCCGCCGTTACCATTTTCTGCGGGACCAACCGCAGCGTCAACGCCAACCACTACCAGAACAACAACAATAACTGGGAGAATGCAGGAGGATAAAGGTAACTCAGTGGCCGCATTGACCAATGAGAACTCAGGTGGAAATTTTTCGGAGCTTGAAAAAAAGCTGGATGCCGTACTCGCTCAACAAAGTGCTCTTGTGCAGCAGGTGGGCGAGATCCGTCAGATGATGGCAAACGAGGCAACGTTCCGTAATGAAGTGTCCACAGTGCTGAACCACCTTTCATCCACGGTGCTGGATATCGATGGCAAGCTGGATAAGAGGGAGGAGCAGGGGGCGAGCAGCAAGTAGTTCAGTGCATCATGGCACCGCAGGAGGGGTACTTCTGACAAGCATACACATACACACACACACACATAGTGGGAGGTAAAGGGGAGGAGAACAGAGAGAGAAGCAAAGGGACACCAGAAAGCATGGGTTGGTAGGAAATAACTCAGGTTGGGTATGGACTGATACATACAGCACATTAAAACAAAATATAGATAAAATGAAATAATGGCAATTGGGCGGCAAAGTGGTGGCGTAAAAGTCCGTGCGGCACGCACAGAGAAGATGATGCCCCCACCCCCACCCCACCCCGTACACGCAAAATGAATGTACTCTGTTTGTTCATCTTGCTTAGATTAATGAAGGAGTGATCCACCAATTGAGCTCCCGTTTCTTTTTCATTTTCCTTAGCATGTGTGTTGGTATGGGCGTCATTTCACTGCCTGAATCAGAAGTGGAGTAAATTCACGTGGGGCAGGACAGGAGTTTGAGGGGAAGCGGAGTAGTGGTGACGGAAGGAGGAGGAAGAGAAAGGGGTGCCACTGCTTGCCAATCAAAAGAAAATTGAGTCTAACAGGAAAGAGAAGAGAGGCCAAAGAAGGAATTATATATATATATATATATATATTTAAAAATAAAAGGAGAGAGTGAACGCATGGGTGCATTATCTGTGGCGGAATGCATTCTTCCTTTCTCTTGTGATTTGTTTCTCCCTTTACTTATTTTACCGCCGCTGTTTTCCTTTTCGTATTCTCTCTAGTTCTGATTTCTTCTCAATCACCCTTCACACACGCGGTGAAGGTGCAGCAAGTCACTTTCTCTTTGCGTGTGTGGGTGTCGGTGGAGAAGAGACACGGGGAGTGAACTCCCTGGTGAGGGGGGTGCTACCGTCATGGTGGCGCCGGACGACGGTGCGGAGGAGATGGACATGTTGCTCTCCATGTTCCCTGACGAGGTCTGTCGGGACCCCACGCACCCGTTGACTCTCGTTCTCATGTTGCCCTTCCGCTTTGTCCTCCACGTCACCCTGCCGCCCCGCGGGTACCCGGAGACCTCGTACCCATCGCTCTTTGTTGCGGCGGGACCAAACGCACCGCTCATTACGCATTTCTTGTCACAACTAACAAAGGCCCTCCGTGAGGAAGTGTCGCTTGGTGGACCGATGCTGCTGCACATTTTTACGCTTGCACAGGAAATGGCAAGCGAACTGCAGCAAGCAGGTGAAGCGGCATCACGTGATGCCGAGGCGCGACGGGATGCGATGGAGTCGGACGCACAGTTAGCCCTTGCTGTGCGAGAGGCCTCGTCGGTGGAGGTATGGACCAGCCATGCTATTACCGATCGCAAGTCGAAGTTTGTGGCGCACATGGCGCGCGTCGACTCCGAGGAGGCTGTGCGAGCGGTGGTGATGCATCTTCGCTTCCAGAAGCACATTGCGGAGGCGACGCATCCCACCATATACGCCTACCGCTTCACCGACAGTGCCGGTATGTTACATCAGGGTAGCGACGACGATGGCGAGACGGGGGCGGCGGCACGTATTTTGTTTCTTTTGGAGCAGTTAAAGGTGGACGGCTACGTGGTGGTCGTGACGCGTTGGTTTGGCGGCATTCTTCTTGGCCCGGATCGGTTTAAGCATGTCATGGAGGTGGCACGGAGTGTTATATTGACGATCCCGCGGCGGGAGCAGGAGGCGAGCAGCCTCGGCGGTAAACGCAGGCGATGAATTCTTGAAACGGGAGGTTGACGGATCCCAAAGTGGTTTTTTTTGTTTTTGCCGTTGTGGTTGGTGAGGCGGGAAGGCAACTTATGAGGCAGAAGCAAAGAAGAAGAACGAGATAAACAAAGTAAACGACAAATATACAGAAGGGATGGAGGTAACTGCAGGTTACATGCGTGTATCGTTGCGACTGCGGCTAACGGTGGCGGGAGAAGCCGCTGGGGATGGCCTCTGCCCCCGCTCCCGTCCACACGCATCTCTCTCACGTGTACACCACCGGTAAACCCTGTACACACACTCGCTTACTCTTCCTTTGCAATGCAGGCAGGCCAATTCACAGTCGTGCTGCGATATAGAAAGAAGGACAATCGTTTCCGTGGTCTTTGGGCCACTAGCGAGCAAAAAAAAAACACCTGGGAGGGTGTGCAGGAATAAGAAGAATTTGTCATGACTTCGCGTGTCAACGTTGATTCCTTTTTGGACGCAGCGCGTTCTGTGCCTCTCATGGGTGACCAAAGTGCCGCCCAAGTGTTATGGGGCGAGGAAGAGGAAAACGAGAACCTATGCCCATCCCTCACCTTTGAACAGCGGCTCATAGGCTTTGGCACCTGTCTTGGCCTTGGATTCTTATTTTCTATATTTGCGTGGATATCCATCTTCTCGCTCGACTTCAATACATTTGCGGTTATTAACACTGCAGCAAACATCGCTTCCATTGGAAGTACCATGTTTCTTTGCGGGCCCCTGACGCAGCTCAAGCGAATGTTTGATTCCACGCGTTTGGTCGCCACTGTTGTATACCTTTTATCGATGGTGTTAACGTTTGTTGTGGCGCTTGTGCTTCGCATTCCGTGGCTGACGATCATCACTGTGCTGGTGCAGTATGTGGCAATGCTGTGGTACTGTCTCAGCTACATCCCCTTTGCACGCACAGCCGTTTTAAGGCTGGTGGGACTCGAATGAGCGTGTGGCCCCCTTCTACCCTCTGTCACGCTGTAGTTTACCACAGTTTCCCCCCCCCCCCCTACTTTATTCTGCATGAGGACGATGATGCTGTTGTTTTATTTTATTCTTGTTGGCGCGGACCTTGCGGTGTACGTGACATTCTGTTTGCCTCCTGCGTGCATCACTCGCGCCTCTCCCTCTTTTTTGCTCTCTCTCTCTCTCTCTCAATGTCTGTGTTGGCAGCACCGCAGTATTCGCCTAGTTGTTTCATCACCAACACTCAGCTTTCAATGACTCGGGCCCACAATAAGACGTTGGAGTCTATCCAGTACACTAGAGGGACGCTGCGCCTCCTAGACCAGCGGAAAGTCCCCTTTGAGACGGTGTTTGATGAGATCCTCACCGTGGAGGACATATGCGCGGCCATCAAGGAGATGCGCGTGCGTGGGGCACCCGCCATTGCGGTCAGTGCCGCCCTTGCTATTGCCGTTGCCGCCGAGAGAGAGGCAAAAAAGGAAGGAAACGCCTGGAACTCGGCCGAGGATGCACGACGTTTTGTGTTAGAGAGCTGCGATACCGTCATGACGGCCCGTCCCACAGCTGTGAATCTATCCAAGACACTCACGCAGCTGAAACGTGATATTGAAGCGGCTACTGTGAGTACAGCAACGGCAACGGTGGAGGTATGTGTCAGTTTGGCAGAAAAAATTTACGCCGAGGATGTTGCCTACAATGAGGGCATCATGCGTCATGGGGCACCGCACATTGTGCGGCGCGTTAAAAAGGCAAAGGTGAGCGTGCTGACGATATGCAACACAGGGGCTCTTGCTACCTCGCGCTATGGCACGGCCCTTGGGGTTGTGCGCCAATTGTTCTACGGGGGAAACCTTGAACAGCTGTATGCATGTGAGACACGGCCGTGGAATCAGGGTGCACGGCTCACTGTGTACGAGTGTGTTCAAGAGAATATTCCGTGCACCCTCATCTGCGACAGCGCTGCCCCTGCTCTCATGCGATCCCGCACCATTGACGCCGTCATTGTCGGTGCTGACCGTATCTGCAAGAATGGTGACACGGTCAATAAGATTGGAACCTACAGCCTCGCGGTGGCTGCGGCACACCACGGTATTCCCTTCTTTGTTGCCGCCCCCACCACAACGCTCGATCCACTGACGGCAGACGGTGACGGTGTTGTGATTGAGGAACGTGAGACGATGGAGATAACCCATAACATGTCAACGCGGCAGCGTGTAGTGGCGGAGGGACCGTCGTTGCATATTTGGAACCCCGTGTTCGATGTCACCCCTGCCGAGCTCATCACAGGTGGTATCATCACAGAGCTCGGGGTTGTGCCGCCTTCCGCAACTGCCCCTTTTTTTGATATTAGCCGCATCGTTGATGCATTCTGAAACGAAAAGGGGGCTCTGACAAAAAACTGAGCCAAATTCCAGCCTTCCATTTCCTTTCTGTATGCATTGGGGGGGGGGCTTCAATATGGGTCGCTTCTTGCTGCTGAGTCGGCCATTCAGGGACTGTGGCAGACAGTGTTAATGTTATTTATGTTGATTGTTTTCTCTTGTTTGATTATTTCCTCGTGTGTCTGTGCGGTTTTGGTAACAATTTTTAATCAAGTTTGGATTCCATGCACGGGGCGCACCTCAATACGTATGCGCGTGTGTACAACATCTACGGAGCGATGCCTTTTTTTGGTTTTTAAAAAAACTTTTTGCCCTTTGTCTCCCCCCTGGGTGTAAACCGAAAGGGTGAACCCGCTGCGCCCGGCTACTGTTGTGGGAAAAACTTCCAATGACAACTACGCACACGGAATTCGACGGAGGTGAATCGCAGGGGCTCCATCGCATCTGCAACACCTCGGTGGGTGATCATTTTGACGGTACGACTATGACGTGCGCAGCACGAGTTGCAACTCCGCAAGGGGGGCCCAATGACGGCTCTTCTTATTGCAGCGTTGCCCATCTCCCTGACGAAGCACCGTCGCATCAAATGGGTGCCACCGTGTTGGAGACGGACGTCGGGCGTCAGTCGCAATCGAGTGAAGTGAGGCAGTGCTCAGGGTCGGATGCGCCGCGCCATGTCTTGCCGCAATGCATGGGGGAGAGCCGTGCGCCAGATGGATCGTCAGAGAACACGTCACCCTCTGTTTCTCTCAATGCCAGTTTGGGGCCTCCGAAGCGGCTCTGCGCTGGTCCCACACGGGCGGCAGTGGACGCAATTATGGCAGAAGAGTGCCGTGAGTGGGTTGCAAAAGTCGTTGGCGCAGCATACAACACCGAGGTGCTGCGCGAAGCGAATTTTGTAGATGCGTTACGCAGTGGTGTGGTGCTGCTCGTGCTGCTTCAGAAACTACGTGACCCCCCTGTGCCCGACGAGAGCCTGCAGGTGCCAAAGCGGACCACAGGCTTCTACGCTCGCGATAACGTCGTCACATTCCTAGAAAAGGCGGCGGCTGCCTACCACCTTGTGGAGGCGCAGCTGTTTACAGATTCGGACCTTTGCGATGGGAAGAATGATCGAGCCGTCGTGACTTGCCTCCTTGCAATTGCTCGCATAGCCTACGCGCGTGGAAGCACGAAACTTGCCCCGGCGATGATCGTCTACGAGCAAGAAATTGACGCCAAGTGGAAGAATGTCTCACAACAGCAAATCGATGAGTTAATCCGAGAGGCAGAGGCTTCCGAAGTGGAGTCCGAGGAACCGCCCGCAGCAGACGAGGGGCAGTATGTCGGCAACTGCGCGGTGGAAACATCTACAGGTCGGCTGCAGCTCACATCAATTGTGTATGAGGCTCCAACAGGGATGCTCAGTGCTGTGAATGCCAAAGGAGGAGAGGAAGGAGGAACATGCGAAGAGGTGCCAATAGACCTAGGCGAGGGCGCCACAGCTCCATCTGTTCCAGAGGAGACCATGGCAACAACGACAATGGCAACGATGGTAACAACTGGCGAGCCATCAGTGGACGTGGAAGGGAAAACGATTGGGGTTGTGAATGCGGCGCTGCTGGCGAAGACTCGTGAGAAAAAGGGTGGCACGGTCTTTTACCTACGCGGTGGTGCCATCGGAAAGAATCTGCGTGAGCTGCGTACTGCGCCTGTGCCTGTGTCAACGAGCAAAAAGACACCAACGGTGTCGGCAAAGCTGGAGGGGCAACCGAAGCCAGGCAAGCCGGAATCCAACGCGCGGAAGGTGAACTTATCGGTGGTCCCAAAGTACTACCCACGACGGGGAGACGAAATTGATATGCGTCTCAGTGTCATTCTCAACACCCATTTTGTGCATTGCCCGCATTCGCCGATTCGGTTCCGTCGGCTGTCGGCGAATTCAGGGGAGTACGTAGTGTATCATCGCATTACTGGGCATAAACGATTAGTGTTAGCTCGCATCCTGCAAGGGCGGTTGATGATCCGACAGTCTGGCTCCATCACGAGTGGTGCGCCCGCCTGGGAAGAGCTTCGGTCCTGGTTGACACGCTACGAAAAGGAATTTTAATATTAGCACTGTTTTTGCTGCTGTTATGGCGTGGATCTTTTTTTGTTGTTTGCGTGCCTGTGTGTGTGTGTGTGTATGTGACACAATGCAGGTGAACTCCGCTTTTATTTGTTTCTCTCTCTCTCTCTCTGACACAACCTATGTGGCGAATGGCGTGTTGCTCACGTCTTTCATGCATATTGTTTTCTCTTTTTTATTTGTTTGTTTTTTTTTGGTGATTGCCGTGGTTGTTATTTTTTACCGGTGAACGTCACTGTCATTGTGACGAACAGCCAAAGCAAGCGAATAGAGAGCGAGCAAGAGTGACCCAGCGGATTACCCAGTGGGCAGAGTCGTGATAGAGCCCATACCCCTCGGTGAACAGTGAACGTGAGCGATGTCTTTTCCACCCATTGAGGAAGCCCCACGCTCCATGACGCGCCGCAACTACCTTGTGGAGCGCAATCGCCTGCGCGTCAACGCGTATGCGCCAATCCGCAAGGAGCTGGAGGAGGAAGACATCCGTGTGGCGCGGGCGCGTCAGGAGCAGCACAAGAAGATGCTCGACAGCTGGAAGACCCAGTCCAACTACAACCCAGATGCCTCGAGGCCCCTCCCTGGTGGAGGGCCACATTTGAAGCGCATGAAGAAGGCATCCGCGCTCAAGAACCCCAATTACTATCAAATTATCAAGGAGGAGGAGGCGGAGCTAAAGGCGGAGCGGACCGCTATGTACAAAGCTGACATGCAGCAGCAGCTTAAGGATCGGAAGGAGTACCTCAGTAAGTCGCGCTCAGCTGAGAAGGCGTACGTCACAGCGCTTGTGGAAAGTCACAAGGAAATGGCGCGTCAGATGGAGGAACGCGAGCGCGAAGACGCAAAGGCCCAAAAGGCATACATGGACCGCATGCGAGAAAGTAACCTGCGGGAGTTGGAGCAGAGACGCCTCAAGGAGAAGGAGCGTGAAGAGTATGAACTTTCTGTTCTGCGAAACCTGCAGGAGCGTGATAAGGAGAAGGCCGCAACGGAGGAGCGCCGCGCAAAGGATATGAAGCTCATGATGCAGAAGGAAAATGAGGAATATAATCGTAGCATGATGAAGAAGCAGGAGGAAAACAAAGCGCGCGAGGAGGCAGAACTGAAGGCCATACTGGAATTCAATGCCACCCTTGCGGAGCGCGAGCGTCAGAAGCAGGTGCGTGAACGGGACCGCTACAGGACAGAATTTGAAGAAACCATTAAAAAGCAGAAGGAGTTTCATCAAACCCACAACTATGACGAACCCCTGGAGGCGATCCGCGAGCGGAATGAGAAGGCTGCTGCGTCTTTGCTGCTTATCAAGCAAGAGGAGCGGCTTCGCCTGGTGGACCGCCGTCGGGAGTATCGCAACGCATTGATGCAGCAAATTCGTGAGAAGCAGGAGTGGCAGCTGTCACACATCGACGGAATATGATGTAAAACAACAGCTAGTGAAGAGAACGAAATAGTAGAAGGGAGACGAGAAGCAAACAAGAAGAAAAAAATGTTTTGCACTCTCTGTTTCTCCTTCCTGTACTCTCTCTCTCTCTCTCTTTTGCTCGTTGACAATGTATATAGCCTCACAGCACACCCCATTCTTGCCGTCTTCCAATTATGTTTCATTGACTGTGAGAGAAGGGTGTGTGCATCACCTTTATTTTTGGTGTCCACACAACGGCCCTTGTTTTTTCGATTTTCCCCCCATTTTTGTGTTTCACTTCATCCACTCCTATTTGTATACTATACGTCCCCGTGCCACTTTCACTTCTCCCACACGTTTCTCTTCTTTTACACATTTACTGCTAGGGGTCAGCATGGGAGAGATAGCTGCGGTAGATCTGTGCGACCCCAGCCCCTAACCCCACACGTGCACACACACTTTCTCCTTTAATGATTGTTGTTATTATGCTATTTGCTCGTTGCGTGCTACTGCGGGTGTTTGTCGTGTGAAACCGGGGCAGTGGTGGGGAAGGAAGCGGATTGTAGACGAGCTGTGGTACCACGTGTGTAATTTCTGTACGAGACAGTATTGGGTGATACAGCGAAAAGAAGTAAAAAAACGCTACTGTTATTTTTTTCATTTCGCTATGTGGATCTATCATACACATACTACCTTCTTCGCTTTTTCTGTTTGCTTGCTTATTTCCTGCCCCAGTCATGGGCTGACAAGTTGGAAATGTGTGAGGGCCGTGAGAACACGCAAGCAGAAAGGTGGGTAGATAAACGGGTGCCACAAGACCGCCTTCATCTCCCCTTGCGGTATATATATATATATATATAGTGCATGTGTGTGTGTGTTATTGATGTATTTTTTGGCTTGGGATCGTTTACGTCAGCTACGGTCTGTAGACAACTCAGGTGTATACGGGTAGCATACATCGCACCCCCTCTCCCCCTCCTCTGCATAGTTCCTACGTCTCTCTTTATCCTAGTCACTTACACTCTTCGAGGGTTGATCTTTTCTTTTTTTTTCTTGTTTTTGTGGGCCTGGCAAAGGTGGGGACGTACACGGACAGGCAACGGGAGAAGGGAAGATAAGGGAACGCCGCTCGTGTGGAGTGTGAATGGAATCGGAGAATGAGGACCTCGACTCACTGGTCTTTGCACAAGTGGGGATGATGACTGCACGGGTGACGGCAATGCCCGCACCCAGCAGCGACGAGGAGCTCGACGCATTAATTCACGAGGCACTCACAGGAGTGACGATAGCCCCGGGAAATGGGGAGATGAGGGCCGCCAGTGCCACAACTTCACCCCAGCAGCAACAGCGTGTCCCACAGAATCAAGTTTTGTCCGCCACGGTATCGCCAGGGGTGGGAGTGAGAAAAACGGTGGGAAAGTCAGCACCGCATCGTCCCATAGTGAGGACCGAGCCTGCGTCGTCATCGGACAGCAGCAACGCTGACAGTGAGGCCATGTTGCAAGCTGTTTTGGAAGGCTGTGGGTTACCAGCTCCAAATAGCCTTACGATGCCACTGCCACAGCGGCACCAAGCAACAGCTGCCCTGGAGAGCCAGATTCCGGCCAAGGAAGAAGCAGAAGATGAGGACGAAACTATTTTGATGGGGACTCTCTTGCATCTCGCCTGCCCTCCGTCAGAATTGGTCTCCGAGATTCAGCGTCAAGGCGATGAGGCCGAGCCGCAGGATACGCCAAGCAAAATGTCAGCAGCACAAACAACAACAACAACAGTGTTGCCCGCATCAAACTCTGTCATTTATGACAATAGCGACACTAGGAGTGGCACCACGACAGCATTGGCTGTGGCCAATGGAGATGGTAGAACCCCCCAAGCCGCGTCTGAAAATGAAAACCGTACCCAATTTCTTCTGTGTTCTCCTGCCTCTCAAAGAATTGGAGAAGGTCCTGTCCCCAGTAAGCCTTCCCTCGAGGCACCAGACATGGAAGACGAGAAGCAAATTCTTACTGCCATATTAAATGCGGTTCAAGATCGTCAGTCAAGTGTGAGTGGAGAATTAGTGTACGGAGATGATGACCACAATGTGGATGCCGTGTTGCAGCAGGCTGAGCAGATTGCGGTGTCGTCACTTCGTGAGGAGCAAGGTCGTGTGAACCGTATTTTGCACTTGCATGAGCACATTGAAATGCGTGAGGAATTACGAAAAGCTCGAGGATCCGTGGGGTGGCCTTCCTGCCTCTCTGCACCAACCACCCCCGTGATGATTGGAGTGGATCCCTCAAACGGTTCTGTACCGGCGCTGCCCTCATCCGCAGTAAAGCGCCCCATTCTATGCATTGGTACAACCCTTGGTATTCTGCTACTTTTTGACGCAAAGAAGAAACTCTGCGGCATGTGTGGCTCCGTTGCAGATTCCTCAGTGGAAATGCAGGGTGCTGTTGTTTCACTTTCTATGTCCTTTGATGCATCCACAGTGTTGTCCGGACATGAGCGCGGGGCGCTGGTGCTCTGGGACACGGATACCCTTAGCCCACTCCGTAAAATTTTAGACGAGTTTACCACACCCATCACTCAGCTGCGGCACTGTTACATGGACCCCTTTAAGGTTATTTTACTCAGCAGCTGTGGACGCGTGAAACTGCTATCCTTTACTCGCATCCTATCCAAAACTATGTATCGCATGACACATATTGCTGCCTCCGTCCATGAAGCACCATTCAACGATATGGATATTGCATTTATGAAAGAGGAGAGACTGTATTTGGTGGCGGCTGTTTCCGCCGATGCATTACTCGTTTCTGCGCTGGAATGCGGTCTAACGAGCGTCGCAACGCCCTTCAACCGACGGTCGCAACCCTCTACCTCATCCTTGTCGCTGCAATTAGTGCATTTTCTTTCAAATTCAGTGGAAAATGGGGTTCTTCTGTGTGTTGCCTGGGGTGTGGATTTTGAAATATTTAGCGTCGCAGTTGGAGGTAAATTGACAAACCTACATCGCCTAACAGGTGTACGCCTTGAGAAGCCGTTACATGCCATGAGCCCTATTGCGGACGGTTGCTTGCTTCTGCTTGATCAGAAGGATGTACTACACCTACTGGATGCAGGTGTCGGCGTCATTGTGGAGACTCGAGTTCTGCACGGTGTTGAACCAGTTGTGTTCTCTACTCGAAGTTGTGGAACGCGGCACAATGCTGCTCTTACGTTCATGGGTAATGAGGCCATTTTATTAGGTCGACGTCGTATCTTTACATGTACTCTTCTATCGTGGCAAGCCCGTCTGGATGCGCTGGTGGAGAAGCGGTGCTTTCTTGAAGCTTTGGAGCTTGCAAAGGCATTTGCCCTTGAGGTTGCACTGGCCGTTGTAGGCCTTCATGGGGACTCTGCCACGCGCCGCGCAAGTATTCACTCTTACATATTTCGTCTTGTTACGTCCTACCTGATAGATATCACAAGCAGGGATGCTTCGCAAGAAGCCATCAGGGATTGCATCACATCTATCATTCAGTTTTGTTCGGAGATTGATGCCATGGATGTGTTTTTTGGCCCCGCCATGGATTTCCTTCGGCGTGACGCTGCGAATTACTCTCTTGCCTTGTATTGCCTTGAGAAATGCATCCTCTCCGGTGTCGTGACTGTGCTTCCGGATGTGTACATTCAACCTTTTCTTGACCTTTTCGCCAATGAAACGTCGTCAACGATGAGGGAGGCGGAGCGTGAAACAAGTGATGATGCGACGTTCTCAGGTGGAGTACTAAGGGCAGAGCGGGTCTTGATGTGTCTTGAGAGCAACGAGGAACTTCTGATGCGTATCGCGGAGCAACATAACTTGGTGCGGCTGGCTGTTTCTATATTGTCGTCCAGACAGCACCGGTATGCGGATGCGCTTCGCTTTGCCCTTGAGAAGGATCATGACAATGGTGTGGCTGTATGTTTTTTTGAGTGTACCATGGAGGGGTACACGATCTCGGAGGACGTGGAGCTTCCTGTTGAGCAGCGCCAAGAGGCGAAGCGGCAGCTGTGGAGTCACCTGTTGACCTTCACGGACGACTTTGTGGCGCTTCTTCGTATGGACCCTGAACGGGTCCTTTCTGCGATGCTGCTGTCGCTGCAGGAAAGTGGCCCCGATTCCCCTTGGGGGGGATACATTGTCAAAGCTGCAGTGTGTCAAGCAGTTGTTTCTTCAGCTGATGGGGGCCGAAGTCTCCTGTGGTACGCTGCACAGACCATGGGAACTGGCACGACGAGCGTGGCCGCCGTATTCTGTGGTACATCAACTCTTTACTGGCATCATCCGTCTTGTGCTGAACGAGTCCTTGGTGCTCCCCCATCTTCAACAGTTCTGCGAGCGTGCGTGTTCGCATTTCATTTATGAATTTCAAATCGCTGATAATGACGTCGAACGCCGCAGCGTGCAAAGTGATGTTGTGGCGCTTATGACAAATTCCATCACCACTGGTGTGGATTTTTCGTTTCTCGAAGAGGAATTGCGTCAACAACGCATGGCGCGTGCCTTGGCGGCTTTACACTGCTCCCGGTGGGAGTACGGCGAGGCAATTGACTGCTACTTGAACAAGGAGAATAATTTGGCAGATCCGGGATTGTCGAAGGGCATCTTTTGTATGCTTCGAGAGGAGTTAGTTCGGGGCCTTCGCTGCAGCGATGGCGCGATGGCGCAGCGCTTACGAGATGCGGTGATGCATCGAATCTCGCGTTTGGTAAACGTGGATGCGACATCGCTGGCGCAGTTTGTCCTGGAGCACCTTCAGGGAGAGCACGAGGATGTGATGAACATCCTCCGCCGCTCCAGTGGGACCTTCCTCCGCTACCTTGACGAGTTGGTCGCGAAGGGAGATCCGATGGTATCGAATGATGTAAATCTGCAAAACACTTACATTGAGTTGCTCTGCGCCCACGACCCGGCGCGCGTCTACCCGTACCTGCATTCACACGACTCGCTTATCACATACGATTTGCATCTTGTGCTGGAATCGGTGAAGCGGCACAAGATCGCGGACGCTGCTGTGTTTCTGCTTGAAAAGACGCTCATGATTGACGAGGCGATGGAAATTCTTCTAGGCGCCGTCGCCGAAAAACTGCATGCGCTGCGACAGGAGGTCTTAACCCATGTTGTTTCCGTCTGTGGGAGGGGTGCCTATTCCGCGTCCTTGCCGTTGCCATCTTCTCAGAAACACGATGTGTGGAGGACGGGAAGAGCGGCAGTGGTGGAGAGAATACGAGGAGGGGAAGATGATGAAGGCGAGCAGCAGTACGTCCATGGTTGGGCGGGTGAGGAGCCACTGCAGCAGGTGCTGAGAGTGGGTGTGGAATTGTGTAGCAAGTACAATGAGGACCGTGACTCGCAGTTGAAGAAGAACTGGTTTCGTCTTTTGGATCTCTTTACGCGTCCGCGTCGTCTTTTGTGTGATCGACAGAACCAGCACAACGCCGCGTTGCGGTTGACCTCGGGCACGGTGGATGGATTTGAAGACGATGAACTCGGTGTGGCACTTACACCTGGAAGCGGCCTTTTCCCTCTTCTATCCGGCCCCCTTTCGGCCTCGGGTGTGATGTTTCTGGAGCAAATGATTGCCATTTACACAAAGTATGTTTCTTTTCTACTTACTCACATGATTAAGGTGATGGACCTTTCCTCTGTCCTCTGCCGCATCGTTGAGGACCACGAACGAGAGCGGTTTGGGCCGTTTAAGCCTGTCATTGTGGATATCATATCCTCATTGAGCTTTGAGTTGGAGGTCAATCGTCTGTGCAAGACTTCTATCGACAGTGACATCATGGCACTTGGAACGGAGCTTCACCGAAGCCTTAATCGAGGGGTAGTATCTCTCTCCGACACATGCTACATCTGCGAAGGTGGTCTTGCGGAGACAAGTGGTGATGAGGGGGAAGCATCGGTGCGACTATTTACTTGTGGTCACGGCTACCACGAAACGTGCGCCATGAACTTTGACAGCGGAGCGAAGTGTGCGCAGTGCTGCCGGGAACGAGGCGGGGAGAGTCAGCGCGTCGCCGTAATAGTCCCACGTGACGGCGTAAGTGAGCGGACGTGGAAACGCAAGAAGACGGCGAAGGGGAGTCAGGACGACGTGGGCGGAGGTGGGGGGAACAGGGAGGCGGAGGACAAACGGAAGGAGGAGGAAGTTGCACGGGTCCTGCGGAGGTTGCGACACACGCGGGCGAAGCTGGAAGGGTCACGTGGCTACTCCGACCTCCTTTGCAGTTTTCTTTGCCCGAGCGGCCTCGCTGCGCCGCCGCGAGAGTTGTTGAAGGGGTCCGCAGAGAAGAAATTGCTTGCACCTGCGCCGTCGTTTCCCATTAGTCTCGGGGAATTTTCTGCAGAGGTGCTGGACTTCGGCACCACCTTAACGGCCGGCCTGACGGACGATGAGCTGCTCGAGATATTTGGAGCACAAGGAGAGGGCGAGGAGGAGGAAGAAGAGGGCGTGATATCGCTTGGGGACGAGGTGGATTTTCACTTTGACGTCTCGCACTGAGTGCTGCTGCACGGAAAAAAAAGGGGGCGAGATGCATTGACATGGTGAAAATCATTGTCCCTTTTTTTATTCATTTATATTTTTTTTGTTTTTGTCTGGTGTCTCCGCTGCTCTCTCTCTCTCTCTCTCTCTCTTGCACGCACGCACGCACACACGTGGTCCCATGGCTCTCTGCTGAAGTTTCAAGTCAATGAGGTGTCGCAGAGGTGAAAATCAAACAAGCCGTGCGTTGATACCATTAAATCCTCTGTCCTCGCTGGTGTCAATGCGCCTACACTTTTGTTTCTCTCTCGTTTCACTCTTTGTTTTTGCCTTTCTGCTGCTCTCTGCAAACAATTGTTCAATGGGGGGGGGGGAATGAGTTGAGAAGGCGGGGTGGAATACACAGTCAGCGATGGAGCGGAGCTGCGGGAGAGAGGCGCCGGACGAGGTGCGTTACCCTCACATAGCCCTTGACGTACTCGGGCAGTGTCACAGCAGTGCGTGTGTGGAGCTTGGAAACACGCGTGTTATTTGCGCTGTCCACCACCCGCAGCAGCTTGTTGATGAGTACCGTGGCAACCGTGGACGTGTCGCATGCACCGTGCGAAGGTCGGCTTCTGCAGGCTCTCATATCGCGGGTTCTGCTCCCCGGTGCGTTGTGACGCCAGAGAAGGACATGTCCCTCGCGTTGGAGGGAGTCGCGGAGCAGGTGGTGTTGTTGGAAAAAATCCCGCAATTGTTGGTGGAGGTGGTGGTGGAAATCCTCGCGGAAGACGGCGGTGTGTGGGATGCCGTGGCGACATGCATGAGCGCGGCCTTGGTGAGCGGGGGTTTTGACATGTACGACGTGTTTTCTGCCTGTAGTTCTGCCCTACTCCGTGATGGTGCGGTGGTGATGGACCCTGACGCCGCCGAGGAGTCGAGTGCCCAGGCATCTGTTCTTGTCTGCATGATGCTCAACTCGGGAGACATCTGCTACGCCAAGCACCTCGGGTCGTGCGAGCCCGGGACAGTCCTGGAACTCACCACGTCCGCAATGAAGGGCTGCCTCGCCCGTAAATCCGTCATCGCAGCGCAATTAAACGATCAGTCAATTTTGTGAGGAGCTGAGGGAAGTTGTGTGTGTGTGTGCGTAACACAAACGAGGGAGACGCACCAACGCAGCGAGAGAGCGAGAAGGAAAGAAGAGGGGGAAAAACAAATGCAGATTAATGCAAGAGGAAGAAAGAGTATTGCCAATAAAAACTGCAGTGCTTGGAAGACTGGGAAAGCGTGTTCTTCTTTCCTACTGTCTGTATGTCTCTCTTTCTTTCTGTGCATGCACGCATGCGTGTGTGTGTCTCGTTTTCATTTTTCTTTTTTTCTCTCGTTGCTGAAACAGCTGCCCCAACGCAGAGGAAGGGTATGGACGCCGATTCCACAGACAACACCCCCATGACCGAGGAGGCCATCATACGGCGATGCAAAATGCATCAGGGGTACGCCACGCCAGAATTGAACGAGAAGTTATATCTTCACTACGTCGGATTTAGAAAGATTGCCTCGCTAGAACCCTTTCACAACTGCACCGTCTTGTATCTCAACAACAATGCGATTGACAGCCTGGAGGGGCTTTATCCACTGCAGAAGCTTCATTCCCTGTATCTCAGCAACAACACCCTTCGGGATTGTCGTAGTCTCCCGGCATTGCCCGCACTGCGTCTGTTAGATGTTTCTAACAACAGCATTACGTCCCTTGAGGGACTTGCTAGCGCCCTGGGGTTGGAGACGCTTCTTGCCGCCCGCAACCGTGTCGCGAACCTCCAAGGCCTAGAGCCACTGGACCACCTTATCAACATTGATGTTTCACACAATTGGATCTCCCAGGCAGATCACGCACTTCCACTGCTACTTCGGAAGAAAGAACTTCGCACCTGCATGCTGCAAGGCAACTCATTCGTAAGAACAACGCCGTCGTACAGAAAATTCTTAATCGCCCAAATACCTTCACTGAGGTTCTTGGACCAATACCCCATATTTTACGAAGAGCGAAGCTGTGCCGAGGCGTATGCCATTGGCGGAGTGGAGCTAGAAAAGGCAAAGCGGGAGGAAAACCAGCGGAATGAAGACGAGGAACGACGAAAGCAATTCCTTTTTTTTACAGAGGCACAGGCGATGATGCGGGGGCACCGAATGTCGGAGGGAATGTGCGTGGGTTCCACAGCCTATTTTGACTGCAACAACTACGAGGACGTTTATGTGCCTAATCGCTAATGCATGGCTATCAGCGTACCCGTCGGTTGTCCTCCATTCTTGTTTTTGCTTTGGCCCGATGGCGTGTTCTCGCCACCTCGTGAGGCAATTCCCCCCTACCCCCAGCGCACTGCCGCCCTAACGTGAGTTTGTTTATTTGCTTGAGCAACGGATGAAGTGAAGTTACCTGGTTTACTCAGGAGCTGTTCCCACGCGGCTGCATTGAACGCATGTATGCACATACAATGGGGAAGTCGTGTCTCTCTCCCCATCCCCCTCCCACACACACGCACGTACAGTCATCACCCAATGAGGTTACAACCGATCTTTCTGCGGCAGCGCTGTAAACTCTCTACTGTTTCTCATGCCACATGAGGCAGGATACGTCCCATACTTGAGCAACTTAAACGACTCATATT